CTTTGTCTACAGACATTCTTATAGCTTCCAATGACGTCGGTTTTGCGTCAAGATTCTGGCTCCCCATTGACTGACTGTGTGTCTGTCTGTCGGTGACCATATTTTCTGGTGATGTTGAGCCTTTAATTTAGAGTACATTATATTAATTGCATAACAAACCTTTAGACAGTGTCAGCCTTTTGCCCTATGGAATTTAGCATTTAGTTATTAGCAAATGTTTTGTTCTAAAGCTATAAAAAATTAAATGAGTAAATTTGAGTTTGAAATTTTGAACATGGATGATTTTTTTTTTCTTGATGTTGAACTGTTATTGTGGAGTAGGTATTTCCTATTTAATCACACTTGCAATGTGCTTAATTTGTAGATTTGATTATGGTCAAGTCTAGCTATTAAACAATGCATCCAGCTCACCTCAGTATTTCTAAGGAAACTTAGCAAATTGCATCAAGTCATTGACTTGCAGCTAAAGTGGGAGAAATGTGATCTTCTTAATGTTCATCAAAACTCTTACTGTTGTCTGTTGCCAGAAAAGCTTTTAAATATGTTTTATGGCTTTTCTGCTGTGAAAGACTTGCAGTCATCCAGCCTTGAAATAACAAATGCTGGAAACATGGTGGGAAGTGCTGCTTTGTTGGCACTTCCCACCATGCTGTTACCACTGGATGGACGTTATCCATTTCAGTCTGTTTCTGTGTCTCAGTATATCCTTTATACTTCTCTCTCCTTCTAATGTAGCTTGTTGTTCATCTCCACCTCCATCAGGAACACAATCAGCTTTCAGAATCACACCCTTGAAATAGTACACCACTCCAATCTATATGGAACCCAATCTTGTTCCATCAGGTAATTATCCGCATATGTTTACATACACCTAATAATAAAAGGGCTTAAAAATCTCAATGTTGAACATCAAGTGACTTTTACAACTTTAGGTCATTTTGCAGAATCCCAGAATGAATTTTTCCTTAAACGGGCTGAACATAAAATTGACTTTTGAGTTTTACCTCATGTCATAAAGCTATTGTCTCATCAAAAACACATCTGGAGTGTTGCTTTGATTCTTTCATGCGTGTTTAGGAAATCCTTTAATCTACATGGCAACCATTCAGCTGTGTGAAGTGCCTGGGTTGACCAAGTGCCACCTTCAGACCCAACTCCCCCTCAGAGCTGCAGTTTCTGAGCTACGTAGCTTCAGAGCAGCCCTCCCCCACCGAGCTCCTTCAGACTAGCTAGCAGCAATTGGCAAACACCTTGTATAATGAGCTCTGATGCAGAGCTTGTATAATGATGCAGAGCTCATTATACAAGCTACTTCACAGTCCAACTCATTTTCATCACAACTGAAGGTAACTGTACAATTAAGTAACAGTTACTTAATTGTGCTATAAAATGGCCTAGAAAATGCACAATACTGCCTAATTTAACAATTATTTTGACTTTAATTGGTAGACTTGCATACAAACCATTTGGGTCAGATATACAAAATATTATTTCACAAGCTTCTCTTACATTTACATTAGAGGCTGAGCATTAGTATGCCGTTAAGTGTGTTTGCTGGTCATTTGCTATATCTACTTAGTAACATACACACACACAAAATCTACTGACTCCCAACAGACTGAACCTTCAGCATTATCAAGATGGAAATGTAAATAATAGAAATATAGTGGCGTTTATTTCCTGACAAAACATGCTTTATTTGTTTGAAATGTTTTTGTCGGAAACCAACTCCATGACGTATATTGTTCCATACTGAGGTAAATGTATGTGTAACTGCAACGTTGAAGCATGAAATGTGTGTTTTAAAAAAAACACAATTCTTTATAAAAATGCATAAAAGTGTGCAAATACCAGCATTCATGTAAACGCTTAAGTTTGTTGGGAGCTGTGGTAGTTGGAGTCTAACATCTACTGGGAGAAAAGGTCTACATAATCGAAAAACAAAAAAAACAGGGTTTCATATTTTCCTGGATAAGTGACTAATTAACTGAGTAAACTGCCACTCTGCCAGTCTCAGAATTAGATTTTCTTGAAACCTTGCGTGCCGTCCTTTTCAGCAGGGGGAGAAACGCATTCAGCTTTCTTACAGGTCAAGATTTGTTTTGTTGTCATTCATGCATTGCCCACGTGTTAAATCTAAATGAGTTTGTTTCTTGTGGCTGCAAATGTTTTCATCTTCAAGGAGCAAAAGCTCTTTGAAGATGTAGTATACGTGTGAGAGCTGCATGACTTGTATTTTACTTTCCTTCACAGTAAGATAAGCATCGTGTTGCCAGTTTAAGAAGGTTTATTGGGCCAAAGGTGTTGGTTGTTTACGGGTATGAGATGGGTGGAACATCTGAAAGTTGTAAGTTTTGTTTTAAATGTTGAGTGAGATTCTCTTGCATTAAACTAGTTGTGATGATTATCATGAAGTACACAGGGCTTGCTTGTGCTACGCTCAGCACCCCACTTCCTGTCAGTTCCTGTCAGTTCCTGTCAGACTTGTACAGTTGTAGACAGTGCAATGCAAATCAGGCCATTTGCATTGCCTTCATCAGTGAAAGGCTGCTTCACATGCAGCTGTCCTGCATAACAAAAATGTTAGCTTTATTTTTATGTTCATTTGAGGAAAAAAATAATAGATAGTGGACATGGAAAAAGTCCCATGCATGGGCATTGGAGGTTGCAATTGCCTGTTTCATCCATCTTCATTTGCCTGTCACATTTCATCAACAGGAAATGAGTTTAACATCACTGTAAGTGGTGATGGTTATTTGCTTAGAGGGAAATGATCATACAGTCTGAAGGTTTGGAGGAATGTTGGTCTGAAACAAACAGGATGCCAGAGACATAAGCATGCAGTCATGTTAAGAGTAGTTGCATTGAAAACCAGCTCAAATTAAGAACTGTGGCCAACATGCATTTATTTTTATGTCTATAAAATACAAAACATGTAGTGTTTTATTCACTTTGCTAAAATATGTAATAATAGAATAAAGTTGTGTTAACTTTATTCCATTATTCTTAATGATTATTTTTTTCATGTGCAAAAACACTCATTAATTATTGGCAGGCCAAGGAAACCTCTTGTTTGCTCCCCTCTTTCCTCCGTTTCTCTGAGCGCCTCAAAAGTGCTGCTGCAGTATGAATTAAACATCAGCAGGAAACATTCATAATCACTTAGTGCTCTTCTCTCTATATTTGTGTGCAGCACGACTAATTGTGCTGCACACGGTCACTCAACGCATTTACCTACCAGGTCTGAATGACACATTTAGAGCAGGACGCTCTAAATGTCCTGCTTTCACTGAGTGATCGGATGTCGGGACTGAACAGGATCCCAGACCCTGCGATGCATCCTGTCTGACTTGTTATGTTATACTAATAATGAGCATGCAGAAATAACCTCTACTTTATGTACCAGCGGGAATAAACACCGTAATGCTAGTATCAAAAATTTGATTACTAGGGTCACCCTGGGTGTTTTTTTACCTCCTTTGGTAAGTTTGTTTTATTATTTCATTGTTCCAAATTATGTTGGTCTGCTAAGTTGCAAAGGGTTGCAGAATTCATGTGAAGTGATGTTTTATATGTTTGAGCTCATGTCTAAACATTTGGTTTTCTGGTGGAACCCTGGAATCCTAAAAATTAGTATAAAAATATTATTAATTTATGGTTGAGCTATTCTAGTTAGTTATATGCTCTGGTAAATACTATAGAGATTATATGGTAATCATATATCAACTTGTTTTTTTGATATTTATTTTCTTATGAACCTGACACTTGAGAAATTAAATTTGACCCAGTTACAAACGCTTTTACCGTAAACTTGAAATAACAGTGCGGAACTGGATCCAATTTTCTGCAGTGAAACAAAAACGCGTGGTTCTAAAGAAGACCCGTGTAAATTTGAGACACATCAAGTTACAAACTGGAACAATTAAGTTTTATAATTTGATTCACGTGAAACCTGGATCATAACAGGAACCATACATTTAAATTATCATCTGCACATGTTTAGATGTTGTCTTTAGAACATGCATATGAAAGTTTTTCTTTAAAGTGTAAACATCAAGGGCTCAGGATTATATCCTTGTGGAACAACTCTTGATGATCTCATGGACGACATTTTGTGGTCTTGCAAATGGACAACTTGTGGTCTATATGTATTTGCATAAGGGGTAAGATGCTCCAACAACGTCTCCATTTAGCAGCTATCAATATTTCTCTAACGATGCCTGTCCTGGTCGAGGAATAAGCTCTGATGCAACTCTGCGTTAGATGTGAATAATATGAACTGCTACTCAGATGAGTTGCAAAAGTTGATTGGAGAGATAACGTCTTTCTTGGGTTGTACCACTTCTGCTCATACCAAAGCGATAGAGAAGTTGATGGTGACTTCTGCTCTGAAACAAAATGAATCTTTCTAATCTGTGCCACAGCTGATTAGAAAAGGAAGATATTTTGCTTTTTTTAATCTATCGTTTAGGTTTTTATTTTTAATCATTATACTGATAATTTTAAAAAGTCCAACATTTTGTGGTTGTACTGACACCAGGAATGTCATTTGATGTGACGGTACTGATTAGATTTACCAACATTTTCTTCACCTTCCTCTGAGTGATAATGGCCAAACCACTGTACTTCATAATTAGCATTTTGGTTGCATGTCTGTTAGCAGAAAATGGAGTCCAAGTTGTTCAAACCATTCCACATATGTTATTTGCAAGCAGTTCTTCCAACCCAGAAATGGAATTAGATCAGAGGATATTTATCTAGCAACCCTGAACAGATGCACCTAGTTTACACAAGTTACCTCAAGACGAGATTCTTTTTCTTCTTCTGCTCTTTCCTTTGGTTTATTTTGTTATTTCCTTTTAATTCTTGTAAAACACTTTTGTTTTGTCTTGTTGCTGAAAATGTGCTATATAAATAAAATTACCTTTAAGGCCTGATTTATGTAACAGATTCAGAGTGGCCCTGATGTTTTTTTTTTTTCTCTCTTCCTTTGATTCCAGGTTCTGCCTGAGGCCAGGAATCCATTTCACCATGTCAAAACACATCAGAAACACATTCCTTGTCCTCGCCCTCATCACCATAGGTGTAATCATACTCTTTGCTAGCAATAGATCACCCAGCTTAGACCAGAAACCTGTTGTCCCAGAGGTTAGTCCGCAATCAGTCTCCAATCAGAGCATCACTCCCCTGAAAAACACCAAGCACTTCTTAGTCTCGGCCTTCATGGATCAGAGAATACAGGGCTTTGACATTCGCCTCATTGGGATTTTTCGGAAAGACTCCATGCAGGAGCTCCACTGCTTCATCTACTGTGCCGGCTACCCAAGTGAAACCACTCCAGCGCACATTTTGCAACACTCAGAGAACTTTGGGTTTCCATTCGTCACCACAGATGTCATGTGCCCGATTCCTAAAAACTGCAGTGCCACACATGTCACTCTTCTGACAAAGCCCAGCCCTGAGACGGGAACCAAATACGACTGGCTTCCCATAAGGAACAAGAAAACTAATGGAGGAAAGGAGGAAAAGATGGATTTCACTGTGTGCATCTCCAGTCTGTTTGGGGACTACAACAATGTGCTGCAGTTTGCACAGACTCTAGAGATGTACAGGTCAGTAATACTAAACTTCACTCGTGGGGAAACCTCAGATTTATAATGGGTAAATTGAACTCATATCTATCGATCAATATTCTGATTGATTTAGAAAAGCACACAATTATCAAATTTCAATAATCAAATTTTGACACGTTCAAGACTTCTCTTTCTACCCACAGATCAATTCCACCTAAAATAATTCTGGATTTCAACTTGTAGTTAACATCTAAAACCAATTCATAATGTCAGGAAATCTTTCATTTTTAAACCTAATTTCTACTAGATCTCCATGAACCATTTAGACGTTGAATAGATTTATTTTCAACTCTGTTCCGCTGCAATAGGAGTCTAATTTTTGCAGTAAATAGGTAGATATTTACCTATGGCAAATATTAATAAAAATTGTACTTTAGATAAAATTATCAAGTTGGAGCACCACCAGAAAGTATTAATAATATCCAAATAGTTCTGTCTCAGTTAGCGTCTATATAAATATTTGCTTGATGAAGTTTCGGTTTTAAAATAACGCCAGGATATTGGACTTCATGTATTGTTTTAACAGGAGGATACGACACGAGTATGGAATAAATACAAACTTCAATCAACAAACTCGCTGAGCTACTAAAACTTAACTAACTCCTGAGGAAAATAAAACGTCAATTAAAATAAAATTACAAAAAGTTTTGTGAAGTGCATATTTCAGAGCCTGAGGTCCAGACAAAAGTCAGGGAGCAAAAACAATCTTTGATACATTTGCAGACGGAGAGTAAAAATCCACTGCATTAGGCGAAACGCATTCTGCTCTAACGAACTCAGAGTTGCATAGTTGCTTCATTCACCTCTCTCTGCTAACAGAGGCAGAGACTCAATCTTCAAAGACCAAACAAAGGAAAACAGATGGAACGGTTCAACTTTACATGCTCATTCACTATCAAGTCTACAGGATGTGAAAATTAAACACTTTCTCCATGCAGGGAAGGCCACGGGAAAAACAGCAAGTTCCCAGATAAAATTGACAAAAACTTGGTCAAAGTTTAATTGAGTTGGAAAATGTATAAAAATGATTTTTTTTAAATAAATTTATTGGTACTTTTATAATTACTTATGTGAATACTTATACTTAATTGTCATAATATATTATGTTAGTATTCCTTTAATTGTTTTAAACTTTTATAACGTATTCAGTTCTGCTCCAGGACAAGAGATTTTAAAGACACTGTCTTTTTAAAATAAAAAATATTCAGCAAACACCAGGAAAACATACAGTGTTGTAGTTTATTCAAGCATTTGAAAAAAATATACTTTGTGCATTTTTTCTTCAAAATTGTGTGCTTTATCCATAGGATCCGTTTTGTTTCTAGTAAGAGTCATTGTGGGCTCCGGTCCTACAACAAATTCAATAGTTTTCAACAGCTACGTGTAGCTAACACTGGCTAGCTTGTGATATGGTGGATCCTCTTAGCTCTGGTTTGCACAACATCAGGTGGCAGGTGGCCAGACTCGATGAAGCTGCGTTTCACAAATCTCAGGCAGCCAGTGTCGGGTTGTCGATGGCAATCATGGGGACTCAGTAATTGAAAGCTTCCTGCTGCAGATTTGAGTAAAACTTAGATCAAGGTCTATTCATTCAGCCAGGAGTGGAGGTACTGGATTCACAAACAACAACTTGTACATTGATTTGTCTTAAATTAAGTGTGCAGATTGCCTTCCTACTGCAGGAAAGAAACGCCGAGCGATTGCAACGTTGAAAAACCATTTAGCACTTCAGCCTGCTTTACCTGCAGTGTCAAAATGTTTAGTAGGTGATTTTATTTTGTTTTTTTTTTTTTTTTTTTGTCCAAGGTTGCTCGGCGTGAACAGAGTGGTGATCTACAACACCAGCTGTGGCCCGGATCTTGACCGTCTTCTGCAGAGCTACAGCCAGGAGGGCTTTGTGGAAATAGTTTCCTGGCCAATCGACAAATACATGAATCCATCGCGAGGCTGGCTCTTTTCAGAGTCTGGAGGCGATATTCACTACTTTGGCCAGCTCACCACACTCAACGAGTGCATCTACAGATCCATGGAGCGTTCCCGCTACGTCCTGCTAAACGATATAGATGAGATCATCATGCCGTATCAACATGACAACCTGAAGTCTCTGATGGACGAGCTGCAGAAGCAGCATTCAGACGTAGGTTGTTTGTCACTGCATTATGCTTGTATTTCCAGATATGTTTCCCATCTTTTTATTAAAGCATATTCACATTTTTTTAGGTGGGGGTGTTCCTGATTGAGAACCACATCTTTCCCAAGAATCACTTTGAACCAAGTAGGAGGTTTCACCTTCCTCAGTGGATTGGGGTGCCTGGAGTAAATATTCTGGAACATGTTTACAGAGAAGACCCTGACCAAGCGATTTACCATCCACGCAAGTTGATCGTTCAGCCAAGGTAGGCTGAGAAATGCATTCAGTCTTAATTTATATTTAAATTAAATTGGTAAAGTCCAAATTTATATATATATATATGGGTGTTTTTTTTTTTGTTGTTTGTTTGTTTTTTTAAGTGCAATGAAACACTTCTGACCATAGCAGGATGTTGTACACTGGTTCTCAAATGTTTTTGTAACCTGTGCCACCTCAGTAAATACAATGTTTTATTTCCTTGTTTACATTTTTAAAATGGTACAACAGAAATCTTTTTTCTTTTTTTTAAGTTTCAGAAGAAGCTCAAGGACTGAACCCTGATTTTTTTTTGTGTGCTTTTTTCCACCAATAGTATAACCCTATTCTAGTATTATTACTTTGTTCTCATAGGCTACTTTTGTACTGGCTTGGAACAGCCAGCCTTAATCTGAACTCTGCTGCCAACTAGTGGCTGGAGGCTCACTTACCAGTCAAACATGCATAAAGATAATAGTGAAGTCTGGTTTCTCATGCCTCATGAGAAGTACTGATTTAAAGTGTGTTTTACAATGCTGTGTGCATGACCAACATCTCACTCTTGTGTACCAGGATGGTGGAGCAGACATCAGTGCATGAAGTGCTTCGATTCTTTGGGAAGAAGTACAACGTCCCGATGGACGTTTGTCGGATCATTCACGTCCGTGTTGCCCTACGGAAATCACTGAAACTGGAGGAGCTCAATGTGGACAAGCGGCTGTGGTATTTTCAGGAGAAATTGATTCCCAACGTGGACAAAGTGTTGGAAAATTTGGGGTTTCTATAATGAAAATTGAAGGACGGGGTCGGAAGAAGGTTCCTAGTTTGCAGCTGAAAGCTGACAGTGAATGTATGCCATCAGAGGGAGCTTGTTTAGTACTTTTTTTTTTTAGATTTATAGAACACACACACACACACATCAGTTTTGCAATGTAATTATGTGGTGTATAAAAAAGGTTTTTCACAGGTTGTTAAAATATTTATGTACTGTACATGTAACACAGGAGTACACTCATGCCTTTTATGTTATACTTATTTGTAGCAGGAATTCATAACAGCAAAAGCTGATTCTTTCCTATAGATATATTGATATAGATATAAATACATATAGCTACATATATAGATATAAATATATACAGATAGATCTATATATGTATAGATATAAATATGACTCAGGTATTTTTAAGTTGTTTCATCAACTGGAATTATGTTTGCATGTGAAGGTATTTTATCAATGCTAGTAACAGCATTTTATTCCCAGAAACCTGAGAAATGTATTGTGGATGAAAGTTCACACAGGGTTCTTTATACCTTTCCTGCCTCAGGGAACCATTTATGGGAGATCTAACAAACCTTTTAACCCTCCTGTTAGTTTCTGAGGTACAGCTCTAATATTCGTGGGTCAGTTTGACCCGGGGAGTGTTTTATCATGCAATAGTGTCAAAAACCAAACAAATTCTTTGTTTCTGATTATTAACTCCCACTTCAATCAATATTTGTGCTATGATGTTTTGTTTTTTTATTACTATTTCTCACAAAAAAGGAGCAATGATGACAATTTACTAATTTGGACATAAAAAATAGAATTTATGTTTTTTATGACCACTGAAAAAAAAAACCTACACACAAAAAAACTATAGTTTTCTTGAAATTAATGTTTTGTTAATAGTTTTTTTTTTCTAAGAACTTTGTAATTGAACTTGAGACATACATACTGTTCTGGGTCAAATTGACCTGCTGATTAAAATCAAGACGAACGACTCATGCAGAAACTATTTGCATGAGTTTCTGCATGAGTGGAGTTTGAAAAGATTCCTGTTTTAAGTTGCACGAACACCTGTTTTCTCACAGGTTCCTAGTGAAGCAAAGAGAATAGTGAGAAAGTGGGCTTGCTTGTGTGTGTGGGTGGTGTCTGAAATCTGGTTCATAGCTGCAAGGAAACTTACAGAATTTGACTTTTTTTCTTTTCTTTTCTTTTTTACCCTTCAACTTGACTGCTGGGTCAAATTGACCAGAACGGTGTCTATGCAAAAAGTAAACACAGGGGAGGCTTGCAAATGTGTGAAATGAATCAATTTTCAATTTATATGTAGAGTGCATCTATTAAGACAAATTAAAAACTACTTCTATTTAAAAAAAATAAAAATAAAAAATTGACCTGCAACATAACAGGAGGATTAATGCTGCCATTTACGTTCAAACACTTTAGATGTGACTGTCTCTTACTTTGCCTGCGATTTCTGAGATTGTGTGTCAGGGAGTAAATATCACCGCGGCTCATGTGGGAGTATGAGCAAGCACAAGATGAGCTGCAGTAACTGCACTGATTCTGTGTACTTGATTTTGTTTCGGGAGGATTTGGGGGCGGAGGGTTTTATGTTTCATGTACTTTACAAATATGCAAAAAATAAATAAATAAATAACTTTTTATAAGTTTCATACTGATGTTTTACAACTGCAAAGTTTAGAATAGTTTTTTTTTTCATCCATTTTGGCATCAGCTTATTCTGGCAGATGAAAAATTGTAAGATACTGTCAAGTGACTTTAAGTTTTGATGGCATTTGTCGCTCTTAATTTTATTGGATTTTCTAACTTCATGTGGAAAATAACATTCTGTTGTCCGGGGTTATTTGTTCTGCGGAGCGGAACAAAGGATCTGCATTCGAGATCACATTGCAGATCATTTGAAAACTTCCTGGAAGTATGTTTATTGACATAAATTATGTCAATAAACATAAATTATCTATGTTTATTGACATAATAATTATGTCAATATTAATTGACATAATTATTGACAAACATAAATTATGTCAACAACTGACAAATTGTAACAATTATGTCAATTGAGACAATTAACATAATTGTTACAGTTTTTTAAGTCAAAAACCTGACAGGCTGCTGGATGAACAACCAGCAGGACGACCAAGTTTTCTGGGGGAAATGTTGAATCTTATTCAGGAAAATTATGTTTTAATAATGAAAAAGAAAAAACAAAACCCTGAAGCAGCAAGGACTGGGCTCTCAGGTTGCATAGATAAATCCTGGCTCAAGTTGGGCTGATTCACACGTCTCAATCTGTACACCTGCCTCACACAAAGGTCGAAAGCAGAGGTTTCCAGAGTGTAAGAAAACAAAAAGGTGGGGCTCCTGTTCCCACAATGGAATAAAGACATTTTAGGAAATTGTTCAGTTTTCTTTTACCAAGAAAATTGTTTTGGGAAACACTTCCCTCTGCAACACAGAGGGAAGTTTTTTTTTTGCCGTCTCTGCATTCTTTTGTGATAAACCTCCATGTATCAGTGAACTATAATCTGATCTGTGGCAGAGACAGGAAGCTGTTTTTTTTATTTTTCCTTTTATAAACATCTCTGCTTCTCTCTCTGGGATACAGTGTGTTTATAGGCCTGTCGCGATAAACGATCAATCAATTAATCGCACGATAAATTAAAACTATCGACGTCATTTCAATTATCGTCTATATCGTTTCTTCCTGCCTTTTTCTCTTACTGTTTCTGACATTGAATAAAAAAAGGCTCAACTCCGGTGCTCTCCACTCTCTTCCTTATTTCCTTAGTGTAATGCCCAGCGCGCGCTGCACGATCTGATGTCGCGGATTGTCGACTCATTATCAAAACCTGAGAGACACATCAGCCGACGATCGAACCGTGTTGTGTCCAACAATGGACACAAAATAATAAGTCCAGTTCACTAACTTTGAAACTGTGCATTAATCAATTCCTTACTACAATCTACCTGCAATGCATGTGGCGAGTGTCAGTCTGACTGAATGAAAATCATTATAACCTATTCATGTCACGTTAACGAAGAACAGCTGAAAGGTAACCGGGTTTTCTAGTAGTAATTTCGCTCCAACTTCTCCCCTAGTTATTTATATTTTCTTTGCACGAAATGTTGAATAAACATTCATGTTGTTTCCGATGTCTGCTGGACTTCGGGTTGCACCGTGTCAGCTGTTAGGGATTCCCTTGTGTATCAGTCCCAGTGTTAAGTGTTCTTTTGAAAGTAAAGTGGATTTATCTTTGGCAGGAAATCGCATGTATTATTACATAATTTCCATTAAATCAATGTAAAAAGGTCTTCAAACAATATTCGTTTATCGTAATAATATTTGAGACAATTTATGGACCAGCAAAATCTGTTATCGTGACAGGCCTATGTGTGTGTCCCAGAGAGAATCAATAACTTCTCAGTGGATAATAGTTTTATCCTTTCCTATATAAAACACGTTTTGTTTTTTCTAACTCTAACGTCTGAGACCAACTTTTCAGATCTATAATTTCTTCTTTTCTACTTTATGTCAATAAAATACCGTTAGTTTATTTTATTGGCGTCCGGTGAAAAGAAAACACTTCACATTTAAGCTATTTTGAATTTTTAGGCAGTAGCAAAGAAAATGGACTTAAAATACGTTCAACCATTTTTCAGTGCGTCGCACTGAAAAACAAGTGCTAGAGTGGACAAAAGCTCAATTCCTGGAGACATTTTCTGTGAACTGATAAAAAAAAAACAATGTGAGACTATTTGGAGGAAATAAGGACAGTGCTTGGTCCAAAATGTCCAGCAGAAATGTCTGCAACTTGGTCAGAACTCCTTCAAGCGAGACATCGGATTTTAAAAAAAACGCCCGCATCTGTTTCAGATCAAAAGCAGAACAGTGCGCTGAAATTAGGACAAAGATCGCAACTTTTAACTGAAGCGCAGAGAACAAAGCCACATCATCATTTGGAAACTATTTATTTGAACATTTGCAACCAGACATTAGTTAAATACAGAAGTTTAATTTCTCTCTCTACATCCCCTTAAACAGCAGGGACCAGTTCCACTTCATCACACTCTGAGAGGAGGGAATGTTACAGGACTTTGTAAGGCGCACACAGTGCTGGAAGTAATTTGGCTTTCTGTCTTCTGATAGCGAGAAACAAAATCTGAGTCTGCCTCTCAAAATGTCCAACACTGCTCCCTCTCCTCGCGATTGTTTCCACCCAGCAGCCGGGCGACCAATTTTTGTCAGCCCTGCGCAAACACACCGTGGCAAAATGACACCAAGAGGAGGCGAGAAGAGAAAACCAGTAAAGAAGGCTGAGACGCACCCCTAATCGAATGTGCTCTCTCAGACGTGTAGTCGTGACTGACAAGCTAAAAGTAAAATGATCATCATGAATATATTAGAAAAATGGCAATTAGTCTTTTCATAAACACCTGGCCTCACCACCTCCCAAACAAGAACAGGGTTATAAATTAAAACTGTCCAAATAAAATCAATTTAACCAAAGTCTTTGGGCCCCTTCAGTTCCACTTCAAGACTGGAAAATCCTCATTGAGAAAACAAATGGCACTTTTCAGTCTTTTGAACTGGAATCTAGAATCTCGACTCCAATGAAGTCGACCCCCCTCCCCTCCCCGACCCTTAAAATCAACTCTAATTTACATATATGGGCGAGGCGCTCGTCAAGCTTCCTCCGCTTTAGCAGTGTCTCCCCACGGGACGGGGGAGGTGGGGACTCGGCGCTCTCTGCGGGCGGGCTAGGCCACGGTCTTGAAGGTCTGCAGTATGAGGTTGGTTTGGTGGATGAGCCGGTTTGCACTGATGAAGACGTTTATTGCCCTGGAAACAGAAAGCCGCTGTTCATTCATTTGACGGTGGGCCGAACGCGTCGGCTTTAAACTCCAGAGGGACAAGCAAATAAAAACTTCCAAGATTCAAGCTGTATTCATATTTTATCTTTCAAATCAAATCAAAGCGGTTTTTAACTGTACGCTGCCAAATTACATCAATCATTCCCTCCAGAAATTTACCCAAAAATCACCACATCCCTGCTTTTTTTTTTTTTACTGTAATGCATAATTGTGAGTTTGATGAAAATTTCCCACAAAAATTGAACTCCCCTGGTGCCTCAGACTTACTTGACATCAAGTTCGTGATTTATATCATGAGAAACACAAATTTACCACCATTCAAAATTTCTTGCAAATATTTCCAAATTACCTCCACAAAAAAAATGGTGATTTTTATTGACAAAGAGATATAAAAAAAAAAACAATTGTGCGATTTTATCAAATCGTTCTGGCACTACCAGCCCTTTAAGATCACTCATTTTATTGATTTAAAAAAAAACATGACATTAGGAATGTCATGTAATTCATATTGTGATGAGTGGCAGTAATGATATACACCATGTTTTTGGTATTAAACTTAAAAATGAAAAAAACGTCTCAGTAATTGCATTGTATACGTGTTTTTTCGGTAGTTTTTGTGAAAGTCATTCTTATATTTGTAACCGTTTGGTTTTACGTTGCTGCCCATCACTGCCAGGTCAAAATGAGATTCTTTGTCTCGTCTGTTTAAATCAAGCTTAAATAAATAAATATATCTCGATATGGAAAGACATTTAACCAAAGAGTTTAGGAAATATGTAAATATTTGAGCCTTAATGAGCAATTTTGAACACGCTGAGTCTTGTTTCTCCTTTTAAAATGAACTCGCATCATTTAACTATATTGATCCCTCCAAAAAAAGAAAGAGAGAAGTTTAAATGCATCACTAAAAGCCTGAAACTAGAGTTCTTTCTGTTTCATGTAAATCATTCTACAGCAGTATGAATATTTGCTGACTGGAGCAGCATGTTGTGTGGGACTCACTTTCCGTCTTTGAAGTATGTTTTGAGGGTGTCGCTGAAACTTTTTGAGTACTTCACAAACTCCTTTTTCTGGTGCTCCAGAGCCTTGGAGGACAGAGAAACACGATGAGACAGAAGGACGATGAGACAGAAGGACGATGAGACAGAGGGACGACTCAACGAATGAGTTCAGAACCAGAGCCGTTACTCACTCTGCGATTCTGGTACTGATATTTCTTAATGACGTTGTTGACTGTATCCAGAAGCTCTTTTATGGCGCTGGCTATGTCTCTGTGGACAAAAGACGTCAGATGAAGACACGTGAGATTAAACATTGTCTGAATGTCAAGAGTGTTTTACTTGTTTTTCCAGCCTCCCAACTTTCAGCTAGGCAGCTGCTGCTGAAAGCTGGATCAGAAATAATCAAGCAAATGGCTTCTAAATGTAAATTTGCACTGCAAAATACTTATCGGCTTCAGGAAACGTTGGCGCAAAACCCATAATCCATGGATTTGCTCCACTGCTCAAACATTACTTTGTTCCACTGCTCAAACATTACTTTGTTCCACTGCTCAAACATTAGCTGAACAAGGTGAGCATTTGGTGACATTTGAACAATTCTGCTGAAGGTTTTAAAAATTAACCAGTTGCTCTGCACCAACACTAAAACCAATGTAAAAAAAAAAAAAAAAAAAACTGGAGGTTTTTATGCTTATGTACATTTGGAATATGCTGGCAATAATTGCAACATTTTCTTCTATTGAATGGGAGTAAAATGCCGGCGGCGTGCACTCACTTGATAGTTTGTAGAAACCGTACTCTGTCGTTGATCTCGTCTGGGATTTTGCTAAGGATCTGTTTCAGAGCTCTGGCCTTCTCGTTCAGGTCCTGGAACTCCTGCCCAGGCCGACTGATCATGAACTCTGCAGGAGGAAAGGTTCAGAGATGCTTCAGCAAACAACCACAAGCTGCGCTTCCATTACAAATGTCTGCAAAACGTCGGAAATTGTTGAAAAATGTTGGGGGGGGGGAAACAAAACGGAATTTGGTAATTGTGGGGTTTCTATTAAATAATAGAAACACAATTAAAATCGCATGCAATAAGTCATTTGAAAACATGACGCGCCATCATCTTCCAATCAAATCCTGTCTTTTCTGTCAATAAGGCTTGATGCGAAAAATAAAGTTTTCATTGCAGTTTTGCGAAATACATTTATATTGACAGAGATTTAAAAATAATAATAATAATCACCTCATCCTAGTGCAAAAATGTGTTTGTTTGTTCAAAGTTGCCTTGTTTCCATGAAGCAAACTTATATTCATAATTCAAATTTACTCATTGTCTGTTAACTAAAATTAGATTGAGGCAGACCAACTACTCTCTAAAGCAGGAAATGCCCCATCTGAATCACTGGTGCTGAATATCCCAAACTACTTTTATCTGACCAAAAAACACAGTTCCAACAAAAGTCCCCCTGGAGTTCAGCAAAGTCCACATGTTTATGTGGCAGAACAGGAAAGGCTTTCTTTCTGACATCACTCTAAAACGCACACAGGGGCTCAATTAGACTCTAAAGGTTGTTTTCTGAGACTTTTTAAAATCAAGAGGTCATTTTATGCTGCAGTTCACCAACCGCATCATCATCCAGCTCACTCTGTGCAAAATACAACAAATATGAATCCGAAAGTGATGGATTATATAAAGAAAAGTTCAACTCTAAAAATACTACAATTGCATTTATTTGAAAGGAATTGCTGAAGAATCACAAAATGTCACTTTCTTCCTTGCTTACCTTCCACATCATCCGCAGCCATGCGAAGCAGGGATTCGGTGAAGTTAATTTGCACGTTCTTCTTCTCCAAGATCTTCATTATGATGTCCTGCGTCAGGCCAGGGTTCTCTCGCTCCGCCTGGGAACGATGCGGGTAAGGGAAGGGAAATATGCGAGTAAGACGAGGAAGGTGAAACACACCGCTCTTGGCTGAGACAAAAAAATAACTGCTGTGAGATGGGCTTCACTAAATTATTCAAATTCCACTAGAATAGCGAGTAAGCAGAGAAATCAGGTGTTTAAAAAAACAGTGAAGGTTGTAGTGAAAGAGCTGCAAGGGACTCTTCTCTACATTTGGCTTATTGAAAGAGAAAAACTCATTTTGCATTATTGAAGGAATCTAAAAGACAGGAGTTATTTTAGTGTATGAGAGTAAATGCACATTTATGCTTTGGCAAGAGGATAATATAGGTTATAACTTGTGCGTTTTTTAAGCTCATTATGTGTTTAAATAATGGAAATAGTGGTGATTGCTAGATAAATGTATTGTGGAACATAAGAAAATAAGCTGGAATTAAAATAAAAAACAAATTTAACATGTTTGTAAATTATCATTAACATTTTGTGCTTATAAGTCAATTGCATTTAAACAGCTACCATGACCTCTAGTGGTCTGTGAAGGTATTACATGCAAATGACGCTAAAGCTGAATAAGGAGCTGATGGGTTGAAACTGATGTTGTATGAAGTTGTTCATCACTGGAGTGATGCTTCAGAATGTTTTCCCTTCTTAACCAGCAAACCATTAGCAGTGATTTAGTTTTCCATACGTAGAAACCGGCTCTGAGTTGGTTTATTTACCTGAGTTGGTTTATTTACCTAAGAGCCATAATCATTCAAAATTACAAAAAATGTGAACAGTTCCACTTTCTAACATAAATGGCAAGAAATATTACACACTAATGCAATTTTCTGAATTTTTTTTTAGATGGAAGTAGATATGTAATAATTTCACAGCAAACCGGAAACTTTGGCTATCATTCCATGTTGCTACTGTGGCCGTGGTGTGATCCTGCCATTTCATGTTTACATTCATTTTATCTGCTTACCTTTTTGAAGGCTGCTCTGAGCGTCTGAGCTGCTGACATGTTAATCCTTTCCAGCTGGAAAAAGAAAACAAGAGAAAGGCACATCAGAACCAAACCAGAACTGGGAAGGAGGACATAGAAGGTACTTAGCTCAACCCTTCACGCTTTCTTTTTACTTTAGGTTGTGTCCTCCTGTGGGTATCCAGCATGTGTGAAATTGCAGTCCCCACAGACATACAACCTTTTATGTTTCAACAGCCTTTCATTACTGAGCCATTTAAATTTCTTTCAGAATATTTCTTAAGCAAAAAGACACAAAACCCACATCACATATATTAATCCGGAATACATTTTCAGGTCAAATTTTCTGTCTGCATCTCATTCATTGTAAACTTAGATTCCCAAATGCTCCTGAATGCATCATTCACCGCCCATCTGGAAAACTCAAGAGCGAGACGGCTGTTTTGATAGCAGGCGAGAGAAGGAGCGAGGTGACACCAAAACAAACAGTCTGACGAGTTCATGTAAAACAATAAGCAAAAAGGGTCAATTGTATTTACTTTGTACACTGAAAATATATTTTAAAGTCCAAATCTTTCAATTTCATCCCATGGACTGTAGACAGGGGTAAATCTGTTGCAAACAAGTCAGTTAGCTATTTTCAAAAATTGTTGATAGATCAACAACAACAAAAAAAAGAGCTGCCAATCATTTTAGGACGTGGATAAGAGCCACTAAGCAGATTCAGGCTTTGTGTTATTTTTAGGTCACATCACCCAGCCTGTCTGCAGATTAAACAATGCATTCAGAGAGGATCTGCTCTTGATTGTGTGTTGTAATTAAGTTATTTGAGTTACTCAATAGATTATGTCCACCCACATGTGTCATCAAGAGTTTGAAAATGCTGAACATTTTTGGTTATACTCAATGTTTTTTTTTTAAATATGGAGTTGGAACAAATCCAGATAACCTGGTCAAATGAATAAGAGTGATTTATTTCATTTCTAGTTTATATGAAAGAAAATATTTGACTAACAATATTCATAATGCAAGCATTTCTCTTTCAATAATGATTATGAGCCTTTCTAGAGGAGGACACCCTTCTGCCATCAGATGCTTTACCTCGTTGAAAACCGGATACATCACGGCGTACAGTGTCATGGATACCATGGAGTTTGTCTCCGCTTCATTCTTCATCTCCTCCATTGTCATCCTCCAGGGAGGAGTAGCTCTTGTCAAAACAGTGAAGAGAAAACTGCAGCTCAGACACACTCACACATACACGCACGCACTCACACTCACACTCCCTGAAAACCACACAAGATCCAGAGAGACGAGAGCCTGGGAAGACAAAAAAACAAAAACAAATGAGAAGTGATGAAATTCAAATGTGCTAACCAACGCTGTTAAGAGGGAAGGGGTTGACATGGTGAGAGGATACTGATGATGATTGCTGTGATGTGGATGAAAAGGATCAAATTTATTTCATCTGATAGTTGTAACTCGGCATTCAAATATATTTATTCAACCGCAGGTGGCTGCCGACAGCCAAACTGCAGAGACTTCCAGTTAGATACGCCATCTGTTCGGTTTAATTCACTCTCAACACACTATTTCTGGAGCAAAATGCTTTACATGATAAATGGACAAATCGACTCTTTAAACTTAAGCGCAATACTTTCAAATAGAGTCAAATAACACAAGAGTACCGATGGCAAATATCTGTGGCGGTAAGGAGCCACAACCTTTGGGCAAGGTGATTTGTATATGAAATACTGAACTGTTAAACTTTATTCCTACAGCACTTCTCATTCAAATAAGTGTCACACAACATGATGTAGGAAAAAAAGAGCTATAAATCACACAGTTATGGAGGATAAAGAATCGAGGAATCACAATCATGCAATGAGGCAACTTAGGAAATAACCATAAAAAGCCAAAAGTGCTATAGTGCTAAACTAAGTTGGTAAGCATAGAAACAAAAAGATTAAAATGTGCTTGATCAAATCAAAAATGACCCAAAAAAACTGATACACTGAGAATAAAAAAACAATGTATTTCTTAAATGAATAAAATACAAACTATTAAAACATCTACAACTTATCGACACACTTCAACTAAATAAGCTAAATAGTCAAAATAAATGTAGGAGTTTGTAGTTTGCTTTTAAAAACAAACGCCTCCAAGATGCTCTTGGGAAGGTTTTTGTATAATAATGAGAAAAAGAGACATCACTGTGAGTTTGGAACACAGAGAATATGAAGAAAACAATAATGGTGAAATATAGAGTGGTGTGATGTCAGGTAACTGAACCGTGGGCCGGTTTCTGGTATGAAGATATGCAGAGGTTTCATTACAAAGACGAGTCTTTTTCATGAAATAAACCTAAACATACATCTAACCACAAAAAAAATAAAATAAAATAACTGTAATACACTGTCCATCAGCTATGTATTGGCTGAAAGAAAGGCATTGGGGTTAATGTGGTACAAAAACTACCCAGTCGTATAGAAACCAACAGAGCGTACTCTCTGATTTAAATTCAGATACCTGTTATATATTTGTAAATGGTAAACAACAAGCACTGTCTGTAAGCCAACAGATGGTCCAACTAATAAAACTCTTGTGGGATGAATCATTTACCATCTCACAGAAAAAAATTAATAATTGTTTGTGCTTTTATTGTCAGACCAATTCTGAACTAAGTAAAAATTCTTAATTTGAACATAAAGCAACAAAACATACAAGCAGATGGAGACAAATCACTCCCAAAGCAATCTTCTGATATCCGTTAGATGTGAATCAACAGGTGATGGATACATATATGCAACACCTTCGACTTGGAGGTTTAAATGAATTGCAACAACTGTTTACAACTGGAGAATATCAGCTTGTTAAACTCTAAAGAGTTTAATATTCTCTAAAATCCACTAGTAATTTACAAATATATATTTTTTTGTTTAATTTTCACTTATTACCACACATTCTTACAAGTTACTTTCTAGATACTATTCTTATTCAGCTTGGATATTTTCCATTTTCGCCACAGTCGACATCTTTTAAAAGATCACAGAACATATTTTCGTTTAAAATTTTTGTGCACCCTTTGTCTCCACAGGGTGTATGTAGTGTGAGAATATCCCACTGATGTGAATTAATTAAAGGAAGCTTCAGTCATAACAGTCACAAATTAATTCACATTGATTATTGTGTAATATTGCAGACATAACCACCCTTGAGGCACAGACACATCAATTCTGCCCCCTCTCTTGTCAGTAAATACCCTGTCCAATCTTATGCCGAGCCAGTAATGAGGAAGAGACAACTTGTATCCCTGCGGACGGGAGTGGCACACATCTAGGTTCACTCGCTGATGACCTCATTCTCAAACGTCCAAACAAAGAAAAAAATTACCATATGATAAAAAACAGGAATTGGTTTTGACGGGCTGATTTAAACATATGCAAAACAGCAAACTGACAATCCTGGAAGCTAATGCTTAAGACGCTAAGTGATGCTAGTTTGGGGGCGTTTGCGCCCAACTCGCGGTGTATATAGTGAAAACATTGAACATTGAACATATACAGTAGATAAATGATTCTGTTTATTTTTTAACGCTAACTAACGCGATGTCTTTACCTCTGAGGGCTACACAGAAGGCTAATAGACACAGAAGCAGATATTGGGTAAGGCTACTTGGCTAACAGGAAAGCTAACAAAGTGGGAGACGAAATGAAAACCGGGGTTTGACATTTTATTTTACTTGACAAGCTGTTCTGACCAGTTCAAATCACGACGATAAGCCGTGTATCAAAGCAAATTAAACGCCATTAATTCGTCATATTGACTCGAGGCCTGTAGCCGAGCAGATCGATGATAGCAGCGAAACGTAGCTTGCGTGCTAGCTTAGGTAATTTGTATATTTGTATGTGCAGTCGGGCTAAAATCCCTCAACGAATTGCTGAGGGATTAATGCGTATGTTCGTGGACTCGTTTCTAACTGGTAATAGTATCTACCTTTTGGTTGACTTCTTAAATAGCTTGGTTCTCCCGTCGACTGCCTTTTAGCTCCTGTGTTTTCTTTACAACTTAAGGCGGAAGTTTTTTAGGACTGGCCCAAGCGACATCTTCCGGACCAATGCTGCGTGTGAGCATGCGTCATCCAATCAGCTGGCTAAATTGACCGTGACGTAACTCGAATGGTTAACATTTTTGGCGTTGCTGTTCTCAGGTGCTATAAAGATAAGACTATTGCTTTGTTCTTTGTTTTTCGCTGCAGAGAATGTCGGGGGTTTTTATAGGTCGACACCAAAAGCGCCTACGGAGCTTCAGAGAACAAATGAAGCTCTTTTTACTCCATTTGTAGAAGAATGAAGTAACGATCAATTTCTTAATTGATAGTTTTATCAATAAAATATATATATGCTTAACAGACTTCAAAAAATATGAAATACTGTGCCTGAACCAGAGGTGTCAAAACTTAGACCCGAAAGCCCTTAGCAGGCATCGATATAATTTTGTGAGGTGCTCAAGAATCGTTCAAATTTAACCTGCAAGCAAATGGAGTTGATAGTGTCGCTTTTTTTTTTGTCATGGATGACACTGGAAAATTATGCAATTACGCAATATTTTTCTTGCATTACTGTGTATCCATCTATCACTGAAAAATACTTAAAGCTCTGCAGTTTAATTGTTCACTCCTGGATCTTTTTGCTGCTGTCACCGTTCCATCTGTTGAAATGTCCCTGCAAATCCCTTCATTCAGATTAAAAAAAAAAAAATCTTCTCATTACTGTGTGCGTGCCACAGTCACTTCTACATTTGGGTCCTTAACGAACATGACAAGCAGTTTAGCAACGTTGTCAGCAAGAGTCGATATAGTCCGAGACACATTCAAATACTTAAAACTAGACTTAAAGCTATTGTTAAATCGATCAATAAGTAGAAGAAAAAACACGGTTGGCTCAATCCAGGAGCTTTAGCTTTGTTGTCTTGTTTGTGCAACCATGGATACATCTCTTTTGATAAGATATCAATTTGCATGTAGACTTCAGACAAACCAATATGAACACAAACACACGTAGTCTGACCTAGATTGCCATAGAGTAAAAAATCTCAGCATTGCAGAGATTTTTCATTTATATGGAATAGTTGTGGTTTTGTGTCTAAATCTGAGGAACGTACATTAAAACTGAACCATGTACTCATCTTTTACTGTCCATTTTGTAACCTATGATTTGGTATAAATTTCCTTGCTCATGCAAAACAGACAATACATCACCAAGGTCAAAGTTCAGTTAGTAAAAAAATGCTCTGTAGACTGTCTCTTGGGGAAGGGCTTCGCGCCGTTGCCACAAGTTTCAAGTTTGTCTCCCATCTATTTTGTATTGAAGCTAAAATGGCAGAAAATGTTCTCTGTGGTACATTTGCGACTGTTAGTCACATTCAGTGCAGGAATGGTGAAACGGCCCTCTGATTTGAAATTTGGATCAAGTACCGACCGTGTTATCAACCAGCTTCAGTATAGCTTTGATTTTTTGCAGTGGTTATATTGTTGACAACACAGAGAGATAAAATCTCCCCTTTGACTCGCTAACAAACAATAGAAATCTGTTTGGAGTGCTAATTTGGTTTTTTTTTAGGACTTGCAACAGCCCTGAAAACAGTGACACCGAGGGCAAAGACCAATGCATACCTTACCTATTTACCTATTTTCTATTACTGAATTGCATGGACAGTCAACTTAAATGGGAGCCAAACTGGAGTGTGAACATTGTAAATAAGCATACTGTTACCACTATTCGGATTCTTCCTGAATCTCTTTGCAACAAAAATGCCAAAAGATCATCAGCTTTTTCTTTCTTAATTCCAGGATCTTTTTATCAACCAATCACATTTATAGCACATTTCAGCTACACAGCAGTTCAAAACGATTTACATCATAAAAACATTTAAAAAATATAAAAAAAACATAATAATTAACATTTACATGTTGTCTTTAGGCCACCCCTTTTTGTTTTCGCAGAGGTTTATGTTATTTTCCCATGGATTTCTATCATTACTATTTAACTATCTTCCTTTCATTATTATTTCCTGATACCCCCATTTGTTCAGGATCCACTGTTGTGCTGTTAGCTGGTAGCACTTCGCCTTATTCACCTCTTCTTCTTCTTCCATTATTAATCGTGTCCAGACAGTATTTATATGAATGATTCGTCTCCATCCTCTCTCACACTGATCCAGACGTGATCCTGATTATGTCACCATTAAAAACATTGTATCCTGACGTTTTTATTGTCTCTTTCTTTTTCTCCCCACCCATTTGATATCTGTTTGATTGTCTACCCGTGGTGGTTCTGGATCCTTCTCTTCCTCCTCCGACCTGGACTCGTGGGGTGACCGTGGGTCAGGCGATACACTTCCAGCGATGTGATTGGCTGAGGGTCAAAGAGATGTGCGTGGAAAATTTGGACCGGCAAAGTCATAAAATAAAGGCGCTGAACGCGATTGTGTGAACTCTTCTCACCTATTCTGCCAGAGGATGCAAGTGTTGTCACAGAGGCAAGAAAGATAAAAAGATAAAAACAACAACAACAAAAAACAAACAAAAAACAAAGAAACATGCAAAATATGCATGCACAAAATCGTTGTGGATATAATTATTATAAGTAATAGCAACCAAGACGTTTCCCCCTCTTTTTTTATTGATACAATTGCAAAGAGCAAAACCCTCATCCCATGTTTGCTGCAGTCAGCGAAGTTACATAGGAATTTTCCACTCTTAAGATTATTTTTACACAGTGGAGTGTGTGTGTGGGAGGGGGGCATCCTCTTCTAATCGCCTTTCAAACGACTTTGTTTAGTTCCGCATAATTATGATGAATAAATCAGAATGATTTGTGTCTCCACGTTGTAATTATTGGATGACGGTATTGTTTTCTTTAACAACCGGCTGTTTTTTGGGGGGGGGGTTTCCTGAGTCCGGCCGACATGTACCGGCTTCACAGCTAAAACGGAAGACGATCGATGCCTAGTATTCCCCATAAGGCGAGGGGCTTGTGTTAATGCGTGTTAAATACATCTGTGCGGGATTTACATATTTAATGCGTGGTTTTCTACCTGTGCTGTGAAGCGGTTCTGAGACAGCATCGCACATGCATTGCACGTGATCTGGTAGTCTCTACTTGGCAGTGATTGGTCAGGAAGAGGCGTTCATTTTGTAAGATCTTTTAATACTGTTATTTAAAATAAAATAAAAAAGTTTCAATGGAAATTAGTTAGTTCCGCATCCTGTTTATCTTTTGCATGTAGTTTGGAAGAACCGGGGTTAAAATTGGCACAATGATGTATTTTTTTAATAAATGTAAATGCAATTATTTTTTAATTTGCAAGAGACTTGGTTGTGTCAAGCAGCATGCATTTGAAGTCAGGTTTATAATAATTAAAGGATGAAACATGTCTTTAAAGTGTGCAACTTTATTTTTGATGTCAAACATTTCTAAACTGAAAAAAAAATTCATTCTTGGTGTCATGCATTTTGTTTATAGGAGGAAATAGTGCTTAGAATAATCTGGGGTCAAAGTAGGAAAAACAATGAAAGTACGCACAACAACTTAATCATTTGAACTGATAATGACTATCAAGATGCAAGGCTGAATCGTAATAATTCTCCTGAATTAATACGTTTGCATTTGAAGGCACAAAGACAGCAACAAAATGCAAAAAAAAAAAAAAAAAAAAAAAAAAAAAAAACGCCATTAACGCTGTAAATTGGAGCTTCAACAAATGCTTTATTGGGTTATAAATTGATCAATTCCAGCAATGGATTGTGTGACTCTACAAACAGCCTTTAATCGACCCATCCCAGTGGAAGATTTTCTTTTTCATGGAATTTTTCTGACTTGTGGCGTGGTCCCTCCTCGAGGATGCTGGGCTTCAAAGCAGCGCTCCCATTGGCTGACGGTGCCACGCGCTAGCCTTTTGTCTGCCGCCACGCGCCTTATATAAAGAGATGGGACTGAGCTGGTTGGCGTGAGTCGGATAAGTTCGTCCTATTGACCAACGGAAACCACTCAACGACACTAGCGCTGAAAGCTTTTTCTTATCGCCGGAAGAAGAAAAATAGGTTAGTAAGAGAGTGTGTTTCTTGCTTAACGGAAGCCTGGAGCTAACAGGAAGTGTTTCATTGCAAATTGTAATAACCCGTTTGTGGCTTTTCAGAGTCTGCCGCCATGTCCACGAGCATTCGCGTTAACAGCCCCAATGTGAAGTACACAGACTCTCACATCGAGGCGCATTACTCCTACCAAACCACCTCTGTGCGTCAGGAGGGGAACAGAGTAACGGTCAGTACAGCTGTAGCCCTGGATACTGACTCCACGTCACAGTAAATGTGCGGCTGCGCACAAACTGCCATCTGCCCTAGTTTCCGTAGCTGACGTCGGTCTCTGTGGCATGCAGGTGACCCCCCGCAGCACCGAGATGACATTCCGCACCGAGCGGCGCGTTCCCCGGCTGGGCGTGATGCTGGTGGGCTGGGGAGGCAACAACGGAACCACTGTCACCGCCGCTGTCCTGGCCAACAAGCTGGGTCTCACCTGGAGGACCAAGAACGGAGAAATGGTGAGCGGAGGGGCCCAATATGAAGTGCAGAAAATATAGAAAAAATTCGTTTTGACTTTAAAGTTGTTATATTTGAGATTAAGAGTAACACTGCAGGGTCCAGTTAATTACACATGATTTTGTGTAATTAACTATTAATTACACACATAATTTTGTGTAATTAACTGGACCCTGCTACACATCATTACACATTTTTTTTTACAAAAAATGATGTGTAATTAACTGAATGTTAACTGAATCCTTGATGCATATGTATGAAATTCGGGATATTTTCTTAAAGAACCTCAGTTTGCTGACAATCAATTTTTACGTCTTATTTGTCTAAACGTTTAAGATTCAAAACTGAATTATTAAATGGAGTCAAAATTTCTTTAAAAGAAACACAAACAATCCCTTTAATGTAGTTGTGAATGTAAGCTGTGAATATATATATTAAAAAAATATATAATCTAATGCTATATTTAGTTTTTTATCCCACCACTACTTTTGATACCACTTATCATCAACTTTCTGTTCCTGCTTAT